CACAGCAACTCTTATAAAGAAAACATTTAATTGTCATGGCTTGCTTAGTTTCAGAGGTTCAGCTCCATTATCATCATGCTGGGGGAGCATGGCAGCGTGCAGGCAGAGGTGGTGCTGGTGTTGACGTGCTACATCTTGCAGGGAACAGGAAGTCAACTGACACACTGGGCAGTATCCTGAGCATAGGAAACCTCAAATCCTGCCCCCACAATGACACACTTCCTCCAGCAAAGCCACACCTCCTAACAGTGCCATTCCCTATGAGATTATGGGGGTTATGGGTGGGGTTACATTCAGACGACCACGCCATGGAGTCCAGCTTGGTGAACCAGTAGCCTTTATTGGAGTTAGTTACGGGAGTACTGGCAAGGGGTCACTTACAGCAGCAGAAAAGACTCAAAGGCAGCTCATCACTAAAGCCCACCCCAGCATGAGTGAGAGCTCACAGAGCTGGGAACCTGCAGCACCCACACAGCCTGCTGGTGGTTCAGCAGGGTGGGGAGTGTCCTTCCCAGGCCCAGCTGGTCTGAGAGTGACTCTCAGGTCCTGAATGCCTATATTCTCCCGGGGAGGAGAGGCCTCACGTAACCCGCCAGTTTTGGGGGGTTCCCAATGCCTTTGCTCACTTCCTTAGCTTGCTCAGTCAGGTTTCCCGCAGGATGGAAGGTCTCAACTCCCTGAGAACATCCTATGTTTCACTTCCCTTTATCCCCGAGGCCTCCCTCCAGACTGCCCCCCCCCCTTTCCAAATCCCCCCCCCCCCGACTTCTGTCCTGGGGACTCAGAACCAACCGGACAGGAAGGACATCATGGAGATGTCACTCGAAGAACAACACTTTTGAGAGATATGGAAGAAGGGGTCTCTAGGGGGGTACAAATGAGGACTGCAGGCCAGGGAAGTGCCGATTGTGTTGGGATTTAAATATTAATTAATTAATTTTTGGGACAGGGTCTGTCTATGTAGCGGCTGTCCTGGAACTCACAGAGCTCTGCCTGCCTCTGGGGTTAAAGGTGTGCACCACCACTACCCGGCTGTGTTTGTTTTTATTTATTTAGAGACAGGGTCTCACTAGGTAGCCCTGGGTGGTCTGGAACTCACTATGTCACTGCCCTCTTCGGGAACACGAGCTACTCAGAACTTACTGAGCTGTGAGGAGGCAGAAACTGGCTACATCCACCTTTTTCTGCGTGTCACTTTTGAATTGTTTTTTTTGTTGTTGTTGTGTGTGTGTGTGTGTGTGTGTGTGTGTGTGTGTGTGTGTGTGTGTTGGAATTTACTTAATTAGAGGTTTGTTTTTATTTTTCAGTTTTTTACTTATGTGTCTGAGCACGTGTCTGAGTATATGCCACATGTGTGGGTGTCTGCAGATCTGTCATGCATTTATCTGATTGTTCTATTATCAATAAAAACTCGAGAGTCAGATATTGGGCTAAAAACCTGATAGATCAAGAAAGCTGCGGAGGAATGAACAGCGCACCTGCTCGCCATGCTTCCCAGATCGGAAAGCCTGTGAATCTTTCTAAGCTCCTCGCTCCTCCTTCCTGGTCCTCCCAAAATCTCTATGGCTAATTCCTGTCAGCTAGTTCCTAACTCTGGCCCCTGATTCAAGGTTAACTTTATTAAGACTCTCAGAGTGTCACAGTGTGATCAAATATCCCTGCAACAGACCTGAGCAAAGGGAGTGGAGT